GATGACATCGACGACAACACTGATAACCCTCACCATCCCAACGGGGACTGATAATCGTTACAACAACAACAACATTAAAGCCGAGTTGATAACAGCGCCCCAGTCGTACTAATACGGCTGTGTAAACTGACGTTGAGCAACACTAAAAGCTTCGTGAAGATCGGGAAGGACCTCTCCGAGCCGTTCGATACCAACCGAGGGTTAAAGCAAGCCGACTTAGATGAGCCTGGTGGTGAATGATGGCATGACGAAATAGCTCTTGGTTTTATATCGGGTATACCGAAATTAATTTGGGATTTTTAGTTGCAGTTCTGTAGTGTAGGGCGGAAATTACAATAGAATCGCGATTTCATATAATTTTGAATTTTTAATCTTTGGCATGAAATTCAATAGGTTTTTATTTAAAAAATCCGAGTTTTGATTTAAATATTGTAAATATTTACGTATGCTAGGCAAAGAAAAGTAAAGATTAATGAATTTTGCCTACGTTGCCAACTATATTGGCAGGTAAGGAGTAGTCAACTGCTGGTAAGAAAATACCGAAAATCGTAAAAAAAAAATTAATAAAATATTAGCTCAAGGTCCAATATTAAAAAAAAACAGAGAACGTTAGTTATTTATTTTTAAATATCTATAAAGTGTATAGAAATCTTTATAAATACACATTTTCTGTAATTGGCAACCACGAACATGTGCACAAAAGAGAACGTCAAATAGTTTTCACATTTATCATCCGCATTTCTTCAATTTTATTTGTAAATTTTTATTTTTTACGACAATTGCTTTTGCATATAAAAATTTTTTCCTTGCTCATCGGAATGTTGCTCTTCGACCATTTGTGAACGAATCAACGCATAAGACACGCCGTGGAGCAGCTCAACGCAAGCGCGAGTGTGCATCGTTGATATATTGTGTGTTTAAATAAAAACGAAGTGTCAGTGGATAAAGAAGCAACAGTGGAAACAGCGCGAAACGCAGCGTCGGCAAAAGTATTTGACTGAAATCGCATCAAATTTATAAATAAATTGCTATTTCGCAAATGTTAATTATTTACCGACGCAAAGAAAACTTGCTATATAATTTGTGAACAAACTTTGTAGTAAATTGTAGTGGTAAGAAATCGCTATTGAAATATAACTAGTGCAATGTGGCAGATATGTGTCGGGAGGCATGGCAAGAGGACAAAAACGTTGAATGTGCTATAACCTTTTTTGACATTGAACGGCAGAAACGGCAACAGCAAGAAAAAGAAAAGAAGTAGGAATAAGCTTTGTGCAGATCAGTGGCGGTGGCTATAATAGAACAAGCGTAGTAAATTGTAGGAAACAAAAAGTTGGTTAAATATCTCAGTAGACGACAGCCAGACGGACGAACAATAAAATTGAAAAACAAAACACGTATTGTACATGGAAATATAGGGAAGCGGCATCTTAGTTATTTCTAACCAAAAGTTCATTTTATCTATGAAAAAAAAGCCTTGTGTACACAACTAAGCAGACCTCTTTCTAAAAATAAAGACATGAGGGCACTAAATAATTAGACTTTAACTATGTGTTCAATTCCCACGACAGCCGGTTCTACGCACGGGAATTGACTCGGATTTTATCCGACCAAGGGATGTTTTTCCGGCGATCTAACCACGTTTGGATCGGTTATAAAAGACTTTAACTATCTCAATTATTTTGACATCAAGTTTTAATAATATACAATAGTTAGTAAGGAGAAAACAAGATATGAATGGAAAATTTTTATGTAGTGAGCGTTGCTAGCAGTTGCAAATGCCTTCCTCAGTTGAATGCAATACATATCTGTATACGTTTTTGTTCGCGTCTTGTCGTGCGTGCGATCTATATACTTACATACATATGTACCTGCGAAATTTGAATGAAAATTCACATACGCATACCAAAAGTTTTGTGTTGTTGTGTACTCGCGTAAAATTCTAACAAGTAGCCAAAAAGATATAAAAATATAAAGCAACGCATGACCGAACAACAAATTTAAAGTATAAGGCAAGGTATCACACTATGCAAACCTCGCGAAGTGCAGTGTAGTGAAAAAAACATTTTTCATTATTATCTATTATTTTGTTTGCTAAAATTATATTAAATATTGTAGCATAAGGAATCATTAATATTTAGAATACAAACGCTACGTCGAAAGCTGCTGATAAATAAGTAATAAATAACGCGTGAAAAACAGCAAAATCAAAAACGTCATTAATTAACAAATAATCATATCGGTGGCTAAAACGTTGTACCCCGCTATATAACCACCCAAATCAGCTCCTTTGCATATTACGTGGTCATCTATAAGTTACCTAAAAAGCGACTAATGGCGTTAAGTTACTAATTGAATCGTGCTCTGATTGTTAGTATCGAAGTGTAGTTTACACTCTTCTCCAACCCCAATTTGCTTTTGGATTAAATAGCTTAAATTGACTGTGCGCTGCGCATTGATTTTTCTTTGCATTTTTGAATTTGACCGTCAAAATTCCACCAGAACCAATGGCTAAGGACGAGGAAGAGGATGATGTTTTGCCCGATAAGGATGCGGCTAAGGGCTTTTATGCAAAATATGAACCTAAAGAGATATTGGGAAGGTAAGACAATATTTTGTTATTTAGTATGTATATGTAAATCGAAAGTCGCTAAATTATTTGATTAATGTTTTTTCGCACATAACTTGTAAGAGGACTGTCAATAGGACTAGTTAGCAAAATAAACATTTTAATACCATAAATATTTACAAAATACAATAAGTATGTGTAAATACCATATACTCAAACTTATATCTAAACTATTGAATGTAGATATGTATGTCTGTATGTTTATATGAACATACTCATGGAAGGATAAAGACCTACCACCACCTCTTTATGCATATATTGAAAGTTTGGATTAAGAAATATAATATATGCAACAAATAATTGCTTTGTTTCGTAACAAATCAGTACTAGACTGTTAAAAAAAAATCCCATATGTTCATATGTATGTACATGCACATTACATTGTGTCACTTGGGTTGCACGGGTTGCTGTCAGTTTGATTTGGTATAAAGTAGAAAAAATTAAAATTTGTTAATTAACGATATTACGTTATATACACATGTAAGAGAACGTATAAAATGCAATTGTCAACATTTAGCTTGTCATATAAGGAATTCTATGGGCGTTATTGCCCATACATTGCTATATATGCATACTTTCAGGTGTTCTTTAATCTACCACAATTATACAATAAATTAGCAATGTATAACTCTTTGCACAGTTACATAGATAAAAAAGCCTAACATATACTAATGGGTTTCCAAGTGCCAAATTTAAAGTAGTTGAGTTAAAATTTCTTAACCGTATCTAAAAGCATTTAAATTATGTCAATAGATACGTACATACATATATTCATTAATAAATGCACGAATCTACCTTGCTTTTTTATGTATTTCCCGGATAGCTTTGAAGTGCTTCTTCCTTATTTCCTTGTTCATTATTTTCATTTGAAATGCGTCTTCTTTATGTCTCCTTTATTTTTTGAATATAATCAGTTTTTATAGAACAACTCTTGAGTAGTCTGCTTATAAATATTAGAAGGTCGAAGCCATTTTGTGTCTTACATACTTATGTATGTGTGATTTATAGTATACATATTTGTACATACATATGTATGGTATACACATGCGAATAACCTCTTTCTACAAAATATACCATTTGTGGTAAAAATTTTTATTTCTAGTATTTTCAAAAACATGTGTTAATGAATTATGTATAAAAATAAAGTTCTTCCTTATTTCAATTTAAAATTTGTATCACATTTATAGTCGTATTATATCTTCAGAATAGTTAATTCTGGTAAAATAAACTGTTGTCTTGTTTTGGGCGCTTACGATTTTAAGCGTGAATTAAGAAAATTAGCTGCTTTCGAATAAAACACAAATGACATGGAAACAATAAGTAAATATTTAAATAATAGACTAAAAAATACATAACTGCTTTATAATCAGTTTAGAATGAAGTACATACATATGTACATAGGTATATTTCTAATAGAAATAAAGAAATAAAAATCTCATTAGCAGAAAACTTAATAAAATCACCTAAAAATAAATATTCCATAATTTTTGGTGGCAATTTTCATTTTACTTTAATTTATAAGTAATGAGCGGAATACTACCAACAATTCTACATTACAACAATTACCTCTACAATAAAAAAAAATCTATTAATGTTTAAAAATAAACGCACGCAGTAATTAGTGCTGTAGTAATATAAATCGCGTCAGAATTCGCCACATTGCACAAATAATCAATACATTTCAATAGAAAAGGGGGCTTACATGTAGGCACACGTAAGCAAACCAGTCACAGCCAACCAACCAGCTACACCGCCAAAGCAGAGCACCAGCACTGCTGCAATAAACAATGAACGGCATGAAATAACAGTATATACAGCGTTCAAAGTAGGGAGGTGTGTCTCATACCGCCAATATGACGGCAAAAAAAAAAAGAAATAATATTAAAATAAATAAATTCCTGTAAATTGCAAACCGAACTGTTGAGGGCAGTGTAAATATATGCACTGTCTCTTATACACATCTAGATGTGTATAAGAGACAGGTATATACAGCGTTCAAAGTAGGGAGGTGTGTCTCATACCGCCAATATGACGGCAAAAAAAAAAAGAAATAATATTAAAATAAATAAATTCCTGTAAATTGCAAACCGAACTGTTGAGGGCAGTGTAAATATATGCAAATGCATATATCGTATATGCAATTGTAGCGAAGAGGGGTGTGAGCTGTTGTAGCTTGCAATTATGTAGTTCACCTGCTCACGAACCGGTTGATCATTGCATGAGCACATTGGCATTTGCGAAAAAAATGCCACGTGATAGCGAAAAACAGGCGAGATCACACGCCAATTACACACACACGTGCATACATACATATATATATGTATATACCAGAAATACAGACTTTTGTATTAATCCAAAAATAGAAACACCTACATACATATATACATACATAAGTATATGTGTGTCTATATACATGTACTTGCGTTTTGTGTAAATACCTACATATGTTTGTGTTTGTCAGCAACGAGCCCCTTTTTCCCGCATACGTGCTTGCTTAGAGCAATGTATATCATTCAACAGCTGTTCAGACTGTTATGGTGGGGGGTTGACAGGGGCATAGTGATTTCGACTGTACATTTCGCTATATATAGCATACATTTTGTTTCAAGCAAACACCAAAGTCACATAGCTGCCAGAGCATAGCTACACATAGTAAAACATGCCCAAAGAATAAAAAAAATAATTAAAAAAAGAGATGAATATAAAAAAATAAAACAACAAACAAACGCTTCGAACTTGTTTCATAAGCCAAGCATTTATTGGCAAGCGCCTAAGCAGCGGGAGCGGACAGCAACAGCGACAGTTAACTGTGAGTACCGGCCCCTCTATTTAAATCGATGTGGTCGAGTGTTGGTTAAGACGAGCGTAGTGCCTTCACAGCTTTTTACGCACTTGTTTATGTGTGTGTGTATTGTGCTTCACACTGTCACGGTGCTTTGCAAACTGCAATGACAAGCGTAAAGAACGTACAGGCCCTTTAGCTTTTAGAAAGAAAATTTTAATAATACATTTTTGTCTTATAAAATGCCATAATATTTGAAAATAATTAAATTTTTTTCTAAGTTAATTTTATAAAAAAATTGCGGAAAAATACATTTTCGACCTTTGACTGCGAGTAAGTCCGGAAGTCTTTTATTTAAAGCTCACATTATCAGTAAGGATCGCCGAGACTGAGCTCGTTCTGAAACGATAGATACATTCACCATTTCAAATATATGCATATGTCTCGTTAGATGTTTTTTTCATTTTGCAATGTCATGTACCTCAATAAGGTTTTAGAAAATATTAAGAAAATAGGAATATTGATGGTATTTAGTGGTAGAATTCGAGATACCCAGCTGTAAGTCTGTAAATATACAATATACAATGTTTACAGACTTACAGCTGGGTACTTACAGTAATGACTGGACTACGTCAGTTATAACGAGGTCGGGCCACTATAGCATATAGCTGCCACACAAACTGTTAGATCAAAATCAAGACCCTATATGGAAAGAATTGTATTTGACGAGATGTCGGGTATATATTATTGTCCAAAGCAATGTCACTTTTTTCCAACTATTTATAACATAGACCCGACGTTTCATGTGAATATTTGCATTACCGATTTGACTCTATTAAAATTTAAAAATAATCACCCTAATGCATATTTGTCACAAATATATAAAAATAGACAGACAGCAACGAACAGCAGCGACAAATACTGATTGCACGTGCGATCAGCAATCGACGCTGTGACATTAAACGAAAAATTGTCTGCTATCGTCGCAGTTCAAAAACTCGCTTCGAGTGATCGCTCTACCACACAAGCGTAATTTATTAAGTTGAGGATACATACACATAATATTAATGTAAAATGTACGTAGAGCTATCAAGCGGTCAAACCTATCCCTACATTCTATTTATGTATATGTTTTTGAAAAATCTATATCATTTTATAAAACGTCAAATGTCATCCGCACGCTAGAAATTTTGCGTCGACGCTAATCTGTGCTCGCAAGCCTTTCTGCTATCAATTTGTTTATATGCATCTGTATATAAATATATAGACTCATGTGTATACATTTGTTTTGACCATTCATGAATTTATTTTGATATACTCGTACTATATTCTATGCCTCCATAACTATATACATACATATGTATATATGTATATATGTATGTTATATATTTATGATTTATTTCTCATTTGTGTTTTCATTATTTAATTTTTTTTTTATTATATTCTACTTAAGCATATTTAGATAAGACAGGTTTCTGTCTGGTTTTATCTAAATACTATCAGCTCTTATAGGTCGTGAGGCATTTTTCCTATGAAAAAAGTTGTATTTTTATGCCATTAATTTTTGATAAATTGATTGACTGCTAATTTAAATAGTGCATATATACATATATCATATTCATATGAAAAATCAATTTTTATTAGCGATTAGTTGCGTTAAATTTTTTTGTACCGCAGATAAATATATTTTATTTTTGCTATTCAGTTCTATTGCTCAATTTTAGAACGGCTGAATCATTATACTTTCGCATTTTAGCGTGCCTTTTATTTTACCAGTTTTTATTTTCGCTGTATTTACTTCTTTTTATCGTAGTTTTTGCTTTGAGCATGAAGTACATTCAAATAAAATTAACGTTTTCGTGTGATTTTGGCATTGAGAAAATAAGGTTTGCTTAATTTCGCGTTTTAGTTTTAGTTTTATTTTTTCATTTTCATTTTTATTTATTTTTTTTATATAATATGCCAAACTGGTCACATGCCATAGTGGAATTTTTGAGAGAGAAACGAAGAAGTATAGGTAATGATTCATGTTCGCGAATAAACTCTACATGAATAACCTTTTTGCTGACTTTTATTTAATTTCTTTAAACAATTTTTTATTTGCATGTTTTGCCAAAGCTTGCGTATACACCTTTCTATTTATTTTCATTATAAAGTTTTGTTTTTTAAATACTTTATAACGATTTTTAAA